AAAAAAGACATTTATATAGAACAGCTGTTAAACTTAGAAGCAACAATTCCTTTCACCACACCTATGGTAAACAATATAGAAGGAAACAACGTATAAGCGCCCTTCTGAAAAGCTGAAAAACACTTTTTCCGAAATGATTTTGAAATATTTTTCGTCTTTAACTCAAATTCATCTCGTTAATTTCAAGGTGTTGAGAAAAATCAGTGGGAATCATGTTTCTGTCGAATTATCAAAAAAATATCTCACCCTGCTGAGTTTTCATATCATGACACGAGATCCCTAAACCTTTAAAAGATTATTTAAACTTCGTATCATGAAATTAACTAAATACTTTCGGAATCCAAGCAAAGACTGAACATCGGTGAATTTTTATAGTTTTTGATAAAAATAATCATAAGATTTCTAATAAATGTATAAATTATCTAAATTTACTGAACAATTGATAATTATGTTTTAGATAAGTTAGGATAGTATAATTTAGTTAGGGATGTTTATCGAAAATTCACTTTTATCAAAGGACACATTYYTCAATGTATCGTTTTCGTCGCGAGGTTTTCGTCAGTTTAGCGGAAGGACTATTTTTTGTCGATTTTCACTGAAAACAACGCGATTTTAATTTGAGTAAATTCAAGTCTTTGCTCGAAATATCATATTAAATAAAGAAAAAAGTGGCGGAWTCYTTAAATATGTCAACTMTGMTGAATTTTAAAATCGAGCGCTACCTTYARAAYRTTTCGTTGGWAAACAATGAGCGAATAYCTAGCAACTACTTCGTCGTACAGGCCGCTTWAAAWCTAATTTGTACGRAAGAGTGATTACTTTTACTGACCTTGTGGTTAGGTAGAAAGCCGTAGATGGAGCTTCTAACACCTAGACTACCACCGTCTAAACACTATTTGCATTAATGYAGAAAGCTTTACATGTAACAACRAAGTCGTATTCAAGTTCGAACTTAAGTTTCCTTTTAGTAAATGCTGGAGAATCGGTTTCGTTTTGAAATAGCAAACATCGGCTTTAAAAACAGTRAACAGGAGAAATAAAAACTATCTTTGAGAGACTTACCTCTAAACGAGGAACTATTAATAAAGACAATGGYCATCAACGACGAGAAGATGGATAAGCGGTTCATATTTGAATGATTCTCCTGAATTTCTGCAACATTAATTTTCTTTCTCCATCATTGCTCCGCGTCTTTGCGCACGTCTAATGGCATGCTARAAAAAAATGCAGATATTTCACTAGTTCTCAGATAAGGGTTTTCCAAGAAATAGGTGACGCTATTTTTAACCTGTCAGTACTCAGGTACTGGAAAGCTTGTATGGCATGTCCTCTATGCGGAAAATTTAGCAAAATTCAAACAGTTTTGTATTCTATACTGCATGTTAATGATAAACTCATTACACTTAGAAAATATAGAAAAATGTATTTTTACATTTGCGGCTACGTCAAATTATAATGATGCCTCATTATGTATTGACTATCACTAGGGAGATAGATAAATATACAGACTTACTTTCCTTAATCTTGATAGCTTTTGATCAAGCCGTGCTGCTTTGTAAGAAATTAACTGTTCTCGGCAATGAAAGTAGTAGTACCGTCTTACTGTAGCATTTGCCATTGATTTGCCTGTGTATTTACAGTCTACGAACCAATCGTATACGAGGTTATAGAATGATGACGCACGTCTTTGAAACTGTACCGGAGAAGTTTCATATAAAACGAGGACAGTTTTCCCATATGATTTTTAAAAACGGATTTTCACTAATGAGGACAAGAATCCTTTGCAGCTTTGTCAACGAATGATAGTTGTGGGCTTATTAAAAACAAACCAATTACGACAGAAAAGAGAATTTAATCTTTCATAATTGTTTTCCTACCCTCATCGTCGCAATTTTGAGACATTTAGCAAACAAAATGTTACTGCCACAGGAAGCCCAATTGAAATAAAAGATTTAGACGAAAATAGAATTTGAATATATGAAAACATGAAATCTGTATCGTAAGCGTTGATATATAAAAAAATGTAAAACATCCTTTGCGCTGGGGTTTTCGAACTACTACTGCTCTTTTAGTTATTTATTCTTCTAAGTTGTTTTTCTCGTCTCATGACCTTGAAGTTGACATTATATTTACAGTTGATTGTCAAATTAATATGTTAGAAAGCGCACACGTTGACTTAAGTAAGATTACCTACTTTATGGGTTCAATTATTCTTATAGCTGGGTCGTCAATCTTTGATTACTTTTTGCTTAAATTTAATTCCTTATCTTTTCTCTCACGTTTAAGGGTACTACAACGGTGTAAATTTAGTCCCGGGGGGTACTACCACCCCAACTTGGGTAGGTGTGTGCCGCCAGAACCTCAAAACCCTGACCCTATCCCAGACCTAACATTTTGATTTTACATACCCTACCCCAGACCTAAAACTAAGAATTGTACACCCTATCCAAGACTAAAAGACGGAAAATACGGTTTTACAATCGATTGCAATCAACATTTACTAACATTTTTATCGTTTTTGTGTCGGCAGAAAGTCTAGCCTATTCGCCAGACAAAAACGACCAAATAGTTAACCCTATCCCAGACTAAAATGATACCCTATCCCAGACAAAATGTCAAAAAATGATACCCTACCCCAGCCGAAAAACCATACCCTAAAGGCACATACCCGTATAGCAAATATAGGGGAGTACCCCCCCCCCCCCAGGGAATTTATTCATATGTGTGATTTTGTTTATTACATTTGAAAGTTTAAAAAAAGGGAGGCTTTCGTTTCATTCTTAAGCAAGAGATAACTGAGCGTGTCAGTTGTCCGTCTATTAGGCTCGGACAAATGGTGCAGCTGTTGTGAATAAAGTTGATGGCGACAGAGTTTTCAAGGGATAAAAAAAAAAAAAAAAGTTCTTCAGTGATCCATGGTAACACCAAACGACTTCTCCTCCTGTAAGAGTAGGATCCAGGGCTATCCCATCATGCATTGCGATTGAGATATGATATTTTTTTCATTTTTAAGAACAGCTAAAATTAATATTWTCGAAATTAAAAAACTATCGATTGTACTTAATAAAATGTATGTCATACCTCTTAGCATTATCGATTTTATAAATTCTTAAATAAATTTAGAGATACTCGT